TCCCCAATATTTAAATTTTAGAATTTGAAGTTAAAATTGGTGCCAATCGTTTTTGGTCATTACATACTATTCCCCATTTTAATATGTACGTGTATTTCAATAACACCCTGTATACATCCCACATACTCATTTATTTTAACGGGAGCTTTTAATTTTGACAAATATTCAAATGATAGTTTTATTGATTTGTGTATGCTTCTGTCCTGTGCCAATAATTATTTGACCAACAAGAGTCACTGAAAATTCCTGCACATTAATTGAATCAAATTTTCGTGAGCAGCTGTAAATACAATGTTGCGTGTTGTGTCACTGATAACGAAATTTCAGATCATCGTTCAGTTTTTGTGATTTCAATCTCTTTAAAGTTTTAGAAAAGGATTCAAAAATGAATCTAGCGAAAATAAATTTTAGCGAACATAATATAGCTCAGTTTAAACAAGCCCTTCCCAATAAAGACTGGACAATTTTAAATAAATATTAGTACTTTTGATAATGCATTTTCGTACTTTTATGACATTTGTAAAAATCGTTTTGATTTTTGCTTTCCTGAAAAACAAAGTAACTTAGAAAAAAAAAAAAACATAAAAGTTGGATAGATGCCGAAATTGCTGCCTCAAGTCGATCACTAAAAGACCTTTTTATATTAAAAAAATATAATCCTCATTTTACAGAAATATATAAAGAACGTAAGAAAAATCATTCCTTTTTATTACAATCAAATAAAAAATAACACTATTAAAAACGTATTCTAAAAACAGACAATAGTATTAAGGCTTGTTGGAATGTTGTATCAAAAATTACGAATAGGCAAAGTTCTATTATCATAGAAAAGGACGGGATATTAATGGATGATCGACGGGAAGTAGCTGCAGTGTTTAATAGTTTTTTTAAATATGCTCCTGGTTATTTGGTAGACAAAATTACAACAAAGTCTACTAGTAACATCGAAAGAATCATATCAAATAAAGATTCTTTCTTCCTCACTCCATTTTCTCAGACAGAAGAATGTGTTGTACGGTATACCAAAGGTCGTGGCTTCGATTCCCACAGGGAACGAAGTCAAATTCTTTATAACAAAGACTTAATTAAATCATACATCTTTCACACAGATATTACAGATCATTCATTAACTTCCATATTTTTTCAAATTGAAAATAGTAATAAAAAAGAAATAGTTCTACCAAGAATTAATGAAAAAAAGTACATTAATTACAAAACTTTAAAGGTTAAAAAGTCACCAGGACATGATAAAATTAGATCTGAGACCCTAAAAAACATATGTGAAGAAGTTTCAACACCTTTGACTTACTTAATTAATAATTGCATGGCTGCAGGTTGTTTCCCAAATGTTTTTAAGGTAGGTATTGTTAAACCGTTACATAAAAAAGAAAGTAAGTCAGAGATGTCAAACTATAGACCCATTTCATTGATATCAAATATAGCAAAGGTTGTTGAGAAAGTTCTTAAAAAGAGAATCGTAAATTTTTTAGTTTTTTTTTTCTCCTGGGCTCGTCTGACTATGTGTCTCCGAATAACACTGAAGCCTATTAGCTTATTGTGTTTTATCCCATGTTAGTTCATAGCACCCATTCTATCACCTCTGTACCTTGTACAAGTTTGTACAGATCCTTGGGTGAGTGGGTTCTATACGTTGTTGGATCAACCTGGGGTTGTCCAAAAAGAGCCTGTCTTTTGCGATCTAGAGCTTCGCATTCGCACAGTATGTGTTTGGCCGTTTCTGGTTTCTTGTGACATAGTCGGCACATGAGTTCCCCATTGTACATGCCAATTTTGTTCAAGTGTCCCTTTACTGGGGCGTGCCCAGTCATGAACCCTGTTATCACTTTCAACTGGTTCCTATTCATTAAAAGTAGTTCTCCAGTTCTTTTGGGACATGGTCTGCCTATGGAGGCTTTCCCATGTGCCTGTTTTGGGGTGCTTCCCCAATAGTTGATATGTTCCCGAATCCAGTCGTTTATGAAACCCCGGACTGTACTTTTTGGTACTCCTGGGTTTGTGTCTGGTTCCGGTATTTCTTCTGACCCTCTTTTTACAAGTTCGTCAGCCTTTTCGTTGCCTTCGATCCCTTGGTGACCTGGCACCCAAAATAGTTTTACTCTATTTCGGTCTGAAAGTGTTCTTAGTTCTTCCATGCATTCCCATACCAGCCTCGACGTAACTTTCTGACTCGCTATGGCCTTAAGTGCCTCTTGGCTGTCTGACATTATTTGAATATGCTGATTTTAGACAGCTCTTTCATTGTTCGTTTTTGCACATTGCAAAATTGCGTATACCTCGGCCTGAAATACCGAGGAATGTATTCCTATAGCATAGCTATGGTTAGTATCAGGGTTGTTGGAAAATACTCCTGCCCCAGTGCCTTCCACAGTCTTAGACCCGTCTGTATACCAGGTTTGTTCCTGTCGTTGGGCATTGGGCTCTTTCCTGTATTAAAACCTCAAATGGAGTACCTATTAAAAGAGTACCTCTTGGTTATGTGATCTGATCTCATGTCTAGCACGTCTTCTGTCACTAACCTTGAGATACTCATGTAACCTGGCCTAATGTCAAGATTTCCCAGTATATTCCCTAATCTGTAAGCACCTAATCTTGCCTCGCCTTGTATCACATAGTGAAGAGGTGGGAGTCCTATTAGTGCTTTCATTGCAGCAGTGGGGGTTGTTTTCATTGCCCCCGTTATTCCGAGGCAGGCAAGTCTTTGTACCTTGCTTAGCCTCGTTATTGCTTTTCTTTGCTGTGTCTTTGGCCACCACACCAAAGCTGCGTATGTTATTATCGGTCCCACCACCATGTTATAAAGCCAATATACCATGTCTGGTTTTAACCCCCATTTTTTTTCCAAAGGATCGCCTTGACATCATTAACGAGGTTTCTGCTCTCCTTGTGGTTCTTTCTAGATGCTGGTTCCAGGTAAGTCTTGAGTCAATCATAACCCCGAGATATTTTACCTCCCCTTTAAGCTGGATGCTTGCATCTCTTAGGTTTAGAGGCCCTAGTCTCTCCAATTTCCTCCTGCGTGTGAATGCAATTATGTCAGATTTGTTTGGGCTAATGTTTAGTCCTTCCGCCTCTGTCCATTTTGTTACTATATTTAGAGCCTCTTGCATTCGATCTCTTACTATAGTGTTGTATTTTCCCTGTGGCATGATCACTAGTTCATTGGCATATCCCAGGGTTCTATGTCCCTTATCTTTGAGAGCCCTAAGCAGCCCGTCCACTACAAGGTTCCACAGGAGTGGAATTTTTTAGTTAAACATGATTTAATTTCACAGTGTCAATATGGCTTTAGGGTAGGTAAATCCACAGAAGACGCAATCTATGCGCTAACTTCTTATATACACCAAAAATAAGATAAAAATACGCCAAGTTTATGTATATTTGTGGACTTGTCAAAAGCTTTTGATACGGTCTCTCATGTGAAACTTCTTGAGAAAATAAGGTCATATGGATTATGAGGCAAAATGTTTGAATTAATATCAAGTTATCTTTCGGGACAAGTCCAATATGTGGAAATTGATAGTGTCGTCAGTGAGCCTGAATTGGTCTCTTGTGGTGTTCCTCAGGGCACAGTATTGGGCCCATTATTATTCCTTTTATATATAAATAGTTTGTTGAAACTAAACACCACAGGAAAGATTATGAGTTTCGCAAACGACACTGCAATTCTTTACGAGAACTCGAATTGGAGTGATTTAAAAAGTCAAAGAGAAAAGGATTTTAAGAAAATAAAATTATGGTTTCAACACAATCTTCTTACTCTAAATATTGAAAAAAACGCAATATTTCCCATTTACATCATATGAAAATTATTTACCTTATTTTGATACGTTAGTAATAGATCAGTTTACTAAGATTTCAACCGCTACATCAGTTAAATATCTAGGCATAATAGTTGATAGATATTTAAGATGGGATCTACATATTAATTCGGTCATACAAAAATTAAGGGGCATGTTAGGGAAATTTAGATACCTAAAAAAAGTTTTAACTGGAGCCCATCTTAAGATACTTTATCATAGACTAATACAATCTCAGCTAAGTTATGGAATCATAGGATGGGGTGGCGTAAGTAACTTTTATCTAAAAAATTTGGAAATTATTCAAAAATGGTTCATAAAAATAATATACGGAAAAAGTCGTACTTACCCCAAACACTCCTTATTTAAATTATCAGGGCTGTTTGATATTCGACAAATATTCTGTTTAAGAAAATTATTATTTAGTAAACAAAATAAAATTAAACTGAAGCCCATTTCTCATAAGTATGAAACGAGAATTAAAAGAAAGGCATTTAAAACACCAAGATGCGAAAAAACTGCAGGTCGAATATGTTGTTCTTACCTAGCACCTAGAATATTTTTAAAAATACCAGAAGAAATACAAAGTATAAAACGATGCAAACACTTTAAATATAAAATAAAAAAATGGATAGGAGAAAACGACAGAACCATTTTTCATAAATTTGTAAATTCAAGCGTGTAAACCAATAAACCTAATAATTAATTATGAGCATTTATGAACATTCATATCCTCTCAACATATTGACATTTTAACAGTTACACCCGATTATGACATTACACCTGATTATGACAATATACCCGATTTTGAGATTTTGAGACTGCAGTTAGCTTATAATTTTGCGTTACAATATTTATTAGAAAATATGATAGAAATATTATTATAAGTTATTATTAGTAATTAAGATTAGAACTAAGGATATATGAACTTTGTATAACATCACAATACAAGTTGAACCTCTTCTGGAGTGACGCTTCTGTGATTATTTTGTAGGTCATTCAAATAATTTTTATACAAATTTGTAATCTTATATGTAAAACCAAATTTGAATAAACTCTATTATTATTAATTATTTTTGCTTTGTTTTCATCCCTTCAAGATTACCTTCTTCATTATTATCTTTATGCTGGGAAGTATTCTATATCCAAAACGGTAAAATGATTAAGAAAACATGTACCTACCTTTTGCTTCGTAAATCCTCAGCACTTCCTCAAGCTTGTCCTGTTTTAACGAACACTTTTTTATGAGCGCATCATTTTGATCTTTCGTATTTTTCAATTCTCTCTTAACGCTTTCCAGTTCGATACTAAGTTTGGAACTACAATTTTCATCTTCATTCAATCTCTTATACAAACACTCATTTTCTTCCATTATTTCTCGCATTTTTCCCGTGAATTTGTTCATTTCGGATTCGTATTCCTCGATTATTTCGTCCTTTTCTTTGATCGAATCTTCGTAAGCGTCAAGAAGGGGACCTGTTAGAAAATAATAAATATACAAAATGAGTGCAAATATTTTAATATTCATTGAGGACGTATAAGTTGGAATCAATTCGATATTTAACAAAATCCTTTAACAGGTCAATTTTTATTTGCAACTGCACGTTTTACGCTACAATAATATATATAAAAAAGATAAACGGATTATTGGGCAGATATAGCAAAAAAAAAATGAAAAAAAGCCTAAAGGCAAACCGTAGACACGTGTTTCTGACTATTGGTCTTGCATCAGTACGGTGCAGCCAAGTTCAAAAGAGAATGGAACTAGCGATGAAATCAAATCAACAGAAGATCACTCAAGAAGCCAATCATACATTTGTGGACTCGGCTAACATTCCCAGTGCTTACTAGGAAAATATTAGCGTTGCCAGGGAGGCAGTTATAGCCGCAATAAAGATGCATCCAAGCCCAGGGAAACTAAGCAAGAGAAGGTTTAGTGTGGTGAGAAAATATAAAAGATAAACGGATTATTTGGCAGATACCGTAAAAAAAATGTAAAAAGCTTAAAGGCAATAAGACAAGGAATTAACGCTTATTTGATCGGCGTCTCGGCGGGCGATCCTAAATCGTAAACAATACCGAATAAGGCTTTCCTAGTGACACTGATGTTACTGATGTTGACCCTTTAAAATGGAAACAAATTTATCCATCCAATACTAAAAATTCTGATTCATTTTAAAACTATTTTATTATTATAAATTCAATAAATAATAATAAATACTATAATGATAGTAATATTTTTTGTATCTTGTTATTTTCCTATAAAAGAAACATTTTTAATTAGATTTAAGTATCATATTCTTAATTCACTTCTACAAATTACCTTTTCTTCACCCAAGGTCCATACTTTGGCTTTAGAACTTCTCACGGTACATCGCCAAAACATCTCTCCATTTTTAAAATTTTGCGGAAACTAAATGTTGCTTCGTCTAACACAAGAACTCACTAACCAAGAAGATATAAGAAGTAATTTTTAATTTTGAGGTTTCATTACTTATTATACAAATTTTTTTGTATTTAAAACATTACAAAATTATTTAGGAAGAGGAGTTCGAAAGGGATAATCCCAAGAAGATTTAAAATTTAAGATTATTACCTACACTAATTTGATTTTGGAACATATTAGAAAATTATTTAGGTGAAAGGGATGGAAAGGGATAATCCCATGGGCAGTGCGCAATTCGTGAAAACTTTTGCAGGTACCTGAGGCAACCCTTGCCATATGATTTTTAGAGTGTCCAGTTCATGCACGCCCGCCAATACTAACTGCCCCACGGAACTATCTGGACACATTAATCCCAAGTACCTGCAAGAAAGTTGGGGATTAGGTTTTAATGATCGGAAATTCAAAAACAAATATTTCTAATTTGTCTGATAAATTTGGGAAAACTATATTTCATTATGGTTGCAAGAGAGGGATAAATTTCAAAGCATTTAGGAAAACCAAATTTGATTATAGTTGAAAGAATAGGGATAAATTTAAAAGAAGATGAATATTTTCAGTTATTGCAGTTATTACGGTATAGTTTTGTCTATTAGTATTTGTTTCGTGCTGTTAGTGTTTAACTTTCAAATGGCGAATCCAACGACGATGTTTGGGGAGAACTTTTATTAATACCTAAATATTGAATATAAATATTGAAAGGCCCGTGATTCCAAAGGTGGAAAAGTTAGATGGGGATGCATCAAAAAAGGGTGTCAACAAAAAGTGTACACAAAGAAAGGTGATGAAAATTACGTAATTCTTAAAAAAGCATCAGTGGAGTATAAACATGCTCCAGATATCTACGTTGACCGGCAAATTTTTAGTAATTTTACAAAGAGGAAAGCTGTAGAAGATATATGTGAAAGACCTTTAAATATTGTCCACCAGGAATTAAGGAAGGAAAATTTCAGCAATTTACAGCTGACGACGAAAGACATTTCTTGCGTTCAAAGAAATATCTATGCTGCAAGAAGAAAATCCACACCACCATTGCCCAAGTGACAAGAAGAAGTTCTGCAAGTGTTAGTGAACTCAAATTTAAAAATAATTCCGCAATTTTTAGTTGTTTCTCAAATCTTCACTTTTTGTGTAATGTAGTTTCTTTGTATGTAGATGGAACTTTTCAATACTGTGCTAAATATATTTGTCAGATGTTTACTATGCATGGCTACAAAAAAGGTTTTTATGTTCCTCTAGTGTTTTGTTTGTTAACAAATAAATCACAGCAATCGTACAAAAGTACTTTTGATACATTAATAACAATAGGTACAGATTTGAATTTCAAACCGAATCGATTAATTTCTGATTTTGAAATAGCAATTCAAAATGCAGCCAAGTTAGTAGTGTTGCCCGACGTTATTATTTTTTGTTGCACCAGGCAGTCGGCTTATGGAGAAATGGGTTCCGGTTAATATGCCTGAATTTTTGGTATGTTAAAGATATCGACTTCCTGAACAATAGTGTCCATGGGCATAACTCAATCCTATGGCCAGTTTACAACATACAGGGTGATAAACTTGAAAAATGGCCATTTTTAAAACGTATTAAAATGTAATTTTCTCAATATATTAAGGATTTTTTGCTGTAATAGTATTCTGATAACATCAAATAATATTGATTTGTGTAGAAAAAGTATTATTTGATACAGGATGATTCAAAAATCACAAAAAAAAAAAAATATTGATGCTGTGTATTCTACTTTGCAGTGGGAATATGAAAATATTATTATTTGGTCTGAATTAACTTTAGTTGAACTTATTATAAGAAGGTATGAAAACATTTTATACAGGGTGAGTCAAAAAGTTGATCGACTCTGCAAGTTATTTTTAATACAATTTTATATATTTTGTAATACAAGCGAGTAGTCGACATTGAACCATTTTCAAAAATATATAATTTATAAATTAGATACAGGGCTATTCAAAAGGTATATAAGGTAGAAAATTACGAAAATTGATTTTTTCTGCGAATCACCCTGTAATTTAATATTTCCTCCTTTAATTTCTCTAATTTTTTCTTATTGTCTTTGAATTGAGTTTGTTAGTCTCCTATAGAAGTTTCGCGAAGTTACTATGATCAGTTTTTTTATATCGACTTTGTGATGACAAGCCTGTCACAATGTATACGCTTATACCTGAGCTCATAAATATGTTTTATTTTATTTAATTATTTAGGATTTATGTCATTCTAACGTTATTTGTTAAAGGAAATATAAATAATATGTAACATATGAACAAACAATGTATTAATATTATTATTAAGCCAAATATCCGAATATGCAAATATTATTAGTGAGCCAAATATCCGAAGACGTAAATATTATTATGTTTTTTCATTAGACATAACCCCATCTTATTCATAACTAAACTAGTTGATGCTTGTCGAGAAGGATATTGAAATATAACTTTAAAAAATTATCTGATACACCATGTTTAATTTTTAGGAAAAAACTTGTCAAGTGTTTTCTTGTTATATTTCCATCTTGTTCAAAAAAATTGCAACAATCCGTTGAAATTATTTTTTGAATTCTTTGATATGGTTTAAATTCGTTTTCTGTAAAATTATCTACCTATAGCTTCACAGTTTAGACCATGATTGTGATTACTATTAGCAGCTGTTCGAAGACTCTGGAGAAATTAAAGTAGATCATTTCTTACATATCGACGGTTAAGAGAACGTAACCCACCATGCAATATGTTCAAAATAGTTCCGTCTTTGTTAAGACAATGCTGTCACATTTGTACATAGTCAGGAACAACTAAGAAATAATAAATATCTACACTCAATAGAAAGCCTCCGAAAATTATCATTAGCGTTACATGTCATGCAAGTATTGGATTTACAGTTCATCAAATTTCTAGAGGCTTTCGACGGCTAGACAGAGAAAGCACTACTGACAGGCATCCCGACGGATTTACGCTATGAAAGTACACTCTGCGCATCAAGTATTTCACTATTTCATTCAGACGTAAATGTCAGATGTAAATTTCGCTAAAACATTTCTTTTATTTTCGTTTGTGTTTTTTGCTCATTACAGTTTAATAGAACCTAAGTATGGAGTTTAATAGCAAATTAAGAGGCCGCGTGATTAACAGTCAATCTCGCGAAATAATAGCCAATGTTATAGAGTTTATGAGAAGAGAAGGAAACTTTAATTCACCTTCAATACCATTTAAAAATGTAAATGATCGTGTTGCTGCAGCCACAGGAGTATCTAAAAACACTGTCGTCCGCATTTCTGGAGAGAAAAAAAGAATCGATAACCGTGAGATATCGGAATTTTCATCACCAAGAAAAACCATTAAAAAACCAAAAACAGTTAATGATATAGATGAAGCTGCACAAGAATCAAATTTTATTTTTTTATTATTAGATAACTATTTTTGTTTCTGAGTTGTGTTCATTTACAGGCTCAATTTTTTTTCGTTTCTCCTTTTTGATTTTATATGGGGTTTCAAGTTGTTTTTGACTTATTTCGACATAAATCACAACAACACACTTTTTTAATAAAGCAAACAAGTGTTAAGAGGTATATGTACGTGTAAACTACAATTACAAAAAATTGATATGAAACCCATGAAACCACCAACAAAAATGTAAAGCTAGCTTCCGTACTAGAACATGGTGTCATTCGTCGAGATAATTTATCGTTTTGTTTAATAGATCAAGAAATGTAAATATTCCCCTGTTATTTTTTATAAAATTATAAGAGAAATAAATTTTTTTCTAAATAGTATCGTTTATAATTTTGTAGAAAAACAAAATTTCGAAAATTTTAGTAATGTTTCAGAAACAACCGTTATTAATAATAGGTACCATTTTCCTTAATAAGGTAGAAATAAAATATAAACTATGTCCACGATTTACAAAGGCCTACAAAAAAATTATAGGTATTTTCCGCTATCTTATAAAATTTATATTTTCTTACTCAATTTCAAAAGGTTGAAGGAATTCCAAAACACCTTTTATGGCATAATAATTATTTTCAATTCTACATACTATCTTTAGCTGCTTTTAAAAACGTTCTAAGAAAGTCCAATCAGACCAATTTAATCCCTAAACTATTCCACACTTTTAAAATTTAATTACCTAAAAATATTAAAAACTATTTAAAATAACTTGTTTAGCAGACTGTACAATAGCTATCTTAGTCACACGTAGCGCGTTCTCTGTCTGGGCGTCGAACACCTCTAGAAATTTGATGAACTGTAGCTGGAAAAAGTACGTTAATTCTGAGACAATATCAAAGAAATCAAAAAATAATTTCAACGAATTGTTGCAATTTTTTTGAACAAGATGGAAATATAACAAGAAAATACTTGACAAGTGTTTTTTCTAAAAATTAAACATGGTGTATCAGATAATTTTTTAAAGTTATATTTCAACATCCTTCTCGACAAGCAACAAGTTATGAATAAGATGGGGTTATGTCTAATGAAAAAACATAATAATATTTGCGTCTTCGGATATTTGGCTCACTAATAATATTTGCATCTTTGGATATCTGACTTACTAATAATATTAATACATTGTTTGTTTATAGGTTACATATTATTTATATTTCCTTAAACAAATAACGTTAGAATGACATAAATCCTGAATTATTATATAAAATAAAAACATATTTATGAGCTCAGGTATAAGCGTATACATTGTGACAGGCTTGTCATCACAAAGTCGATATAAATAACTGATCATAGTAACTTCGCAAAACTTATATAGGAGACTAACAAACTCAAATCAAAGACAATAAGAAAAAATTAGAGAAATTAACGGAGGACATATTAAATTACAGGGTGATTCGCAGAAAAAAATCAATTATCGTAATTTTCTCGAGTCGATCAACTTTTTGACTCACCCTGTATAAAATGTTTTCATACCTTCTTATAATAAGTCCAACTAAAGTTAATTCAGACCATATATTAATATTTTCATATTACCACTGTAAAGAAGAATACACAACATCAATATTTTTTTGGTGATTTTTGAATCACCCTGTATCAAATAATACTTTTTCTACACAAAGCAATATTATTTGATGTGATCAGAATACTATTACAGCAAAAAATCCTTAATATATTGAGAAAATTACATTTTAATACGTTTTAAAAAATGGCCATTTTTCAACTTCATCACTCTGTATGTTAAAAATTGGCCATGGGATTGAGTTGTGCCCATGGACACTATTGTTCAGGAAGTCGATATCTTTAACATACCAAAAACTCAGGCATATTAACCGGAACCCATTTCTCCATAAGCCGGCTGCCTGGTCCTTTCTTTTAACACAAAATTGGTTTAGAAAAATTCAAAATTTAGGTTTGTCCTCGGAATATAAAAATCAAACTGTTATTGGAAATTATTTAAAATTGTTTTTCGGTGTTCCTTATCTAGATCCAAATAAAGTTGGTGACTTTTTCTGATGAATTTTTTATTATTATGCCAGAAGAGTTTTGCAATTTTGTGATTACCTAGTTGATAATTATTTAACGGAAGATTCAACATTTCCACCTTACATGTGGGCTTCATGTTTTTATAAATCATATCCTGACATGTTTAAATTTACAGACATTTTGTTAAATTTTCAAGCAGAAGTACATGTGAAAATTACAACTGCACAAAGATTAGAAAAAAAACTTGATCATTTGTCAAAAAGAAAGGTTGATTTTATTGAAAATAGGCTAATTAAATATTACGTTAATCAAAATATTACTAAATTAGACTTCATAAGTCAGTTTGCAATTTGATATAAGACCACTGATCTGTATTATTTTACTGGATAGGATATAGCCCTCTAAAAAACGTACCGAAAAATTGGCCGATTTGGGCAAATAATATGGCTGACCGGATGTTATTTAACATAACCTCTATTTCCATTTGTCATCACATTTGTCATTTAATTGTGTCAACAAGTTACGATGAGATGTTTTTTTTTTATTTATTTAGGTATTATCGGATAACATTACTATGATATAAACAATAAACGTTCATTCGTGAAGACACCATTTTTATATTTTCTTTCATAAAAAAAACAAATTATGGGTGAATTGTCCCGAAGGACATTGCCCGCAAAAGGAATAGAAGAAGAATAAGAAGAAAACTAATCAAATTATAGGTTAGGTATGTCAAATTATCCCAAAATTCAGTTCTGTGATCCCACCATAATTTGCCCAAATCGGCCAGCAATGTTGCATTTCCGGTCTCCTTGGTGGAACGGATTTTTAGTATGTTAAATATAGCCTATATCCTATCCAGTAAAATAATACAGATCAGTGTATAAGACCCCCGAATTGATATGACATTATTATCCATAACCTTCTAAAAGTAAGATATTTTAAAATAAAAACTATTATACGGTGTTGCCCATCTTTTGAAACACCAAATGCTTTTTATTTTTTGTTTTTATAATAAAAACACATAATTTTGTATTGTTCAACATTTTATATACAGTGCTGGTTAAATCTTTAATGCTACGTTGCTTTTGTTCCAATGAATAGTAAATGGCGATAATAAAAAGAAACGATATACTGTTATAGTTGCTCTAATCTCGGTAGCCAAAAATTCTAACCAACTAAATACTCGAACCCAAAATCTGTTGAACCAGTACTCTCACTGGTGTAGCAGAAGGAGGGTCTCATTAAATCCACAGAAAACACAATTTATCGTCTTCAAACACCCAAATTCCAAAAAACCTTCCAGAACCCCCCCACTCGTGAATGTAAATCTCCTGGGAGTCAGGCTCGCTCAACAGACTGAAGTTGACTACTTGGGGGTACGATTTTCTCGTACACTTAACAGGTCCTCTGACGTCCAACGCACCCTTGACAAAATGCGAAAACGAGCCAGTCTCCTTGGGGCTTTGTGCGGACGAATGGGGCGTTGTAACACAAACACCCTTATTCACACATAATTCCTTCATCCGTACCGTTACCGAATACAGAGCTGTACCCTACAGCGTACTTCCCACACACTTGTCCCACAAATTCACCACACTCGAGAGACGTATTCTCAGACGTTGCCAATATCTCCCCTACCGCTCCCCCAGCGGAGAAGTTTTCGAAAACACCCCCATCCTCACACGTTTCCAAACACTCAGGAAACAATGCGTCTCTCGCACGCTGAAAGGCACCAACACACACTCTCAAGACACTCTACGAACTCCATGGCGCCCAAACCAACTTCCACTTTTTCGAAAACCGAAAAGAAAAATGCCACAACCAAATCTGAAACTTCTCTCAGACTCTCAAGACCTCCCTCTCACCGCTGAACCCCAGGATCTGCTGGAATCAGCTCCCCTAAGTATTAGATAAACCCTTCCCAATCATATAATTAGAAATTCACAATATATGTACAATATCGTGATTTATGTTTCGTGGTTTTCCTAAATCATATTCCCCACCCTATACTTGGACTTGTCCATTTATGGGGTTGGAAATAGCAAAATTGGGGATATTCTTGGGGAACACAACCTGCCACACCGGTCCCACACGCGCACACGACACCATTAGGAAATAGGTTACTTTTGTAATCAGGGCAGACCACCCTGAAAAGGAGGAGAACTTCTATAGCAGGGAAATAGGAAAATTAAATGTCCTAGAAAATGTAAAATACCTAAGAAAAATCGATATTAAACTAAAAAAAAAAAACTGTTATAGTTGCCAGTTACAGGTCGAGTAACCGGTCCTTTTAAATGTCGTGGCTTTTAAAATTTACAAGAAATAAGGAAATACATTTTTAAAATTGGAATAGTACGAACCTAAAGTGTGTTTATTTACATTTCCCCATAATACTGGAATATGCTTGTGATCTCTGTGAACATCCGAAAGAATTTCTTTGCTTAACTCTACACCAGAAATTTCAATGTCGCGCTTATGATACGAATCCATCGAAGGTCTGGGTATGTTATTTCTTCTTAGAAGTTCTTGGTACCTTTCCAATTGCGTATTTAATCTAAAACATCACTCATTTAAAAATTAATTATTCAAGGGTAATATACCAAGACCTTGATAATAGTCAGCTATTTTTGTTGAATCTAAATCTCGAGGATATTTTAATATCAATTTGATGAGACATAATTTTTGGCATTATCTGATTAGAGCCCGAGAGCTTTAGAGCTCTAGAGAAATAGTCGCTGATATTTGATCTAGAGAGATAATCGATGTTATAATATATTGCTTATGTGGGTAGAGGCCACCATGTGTCTCATTACTTAGGTTAAGTGTTAAGGAAAAAAAAGATCTTAGTTAACCTAAAAATTATGTAAAAGTAAGCATATGTATTTTTCGTTTATTTAAAATTAATAAATACAATATAAAATAAAAGGCATTTCTGATTATTAAAATTATAAGAGGTTATGGGCCCAGAAGTGCCAAAAGAAGAATAGTGAAGATTCATAAAAAAGTTAAAAATGAATACTACAAATAACCTACCACAGCTAAGTGCCGACAATTTTAATAACTGGCTATATAGAGTCAAATGTCTCTTAGATGATAAGAATGTTTTAATAGCCATTGAAAAAGAAATAACAGAAATAACTAATGATAAAGAAAGACAAGAATTTCCTGGAAAAGATGCTAAAGCTCGAAATATCTTGGTACAATGCATTACAGATAAACATATCGACATAGTAAAAGATGCGAAGACGGCAAAGCAAATGCTAAAATCACTAGAAGATGTGTTTCAACGTAAAAGTGTGTTTACAAAACTAACACTAAAGAAAAAATTATTAACTTTAAAATGCGATAAAAACAAAAAGCTCGAAGATCATTTTTTAAAATGTGATTCCATTATCAGAGAATTGGAAGGTATTGGATGCGAAATGGAAGAAGAAGATAAAGTGTGCCACTTATTACTATCCTTAACTAGTGACTATGATTCAGTCATTACAGCTATAGAAACTGTAATTGCTACGATCACAATGGATTTCGTCAAATCTCGTCTGTTAGATGAAGAATTAAAAATGAGAACAAAAGAAGGAGCTAATAATAATAATCTTGACGTTTCATTTAAAGCAAGCCCCTTTACCTGCTATAATTGTGGAAAAAGTGGGCACAAATCTAACGATTGTTACTTTAATGCAAATAGATATACAAGAGGAAACTTTAGAGGCCATAGAGGAAGAAGAAATTATACAAACAGGGCTACAAATAGAGGTCAAATTGGAGGAAGTAGCCAGCAAGCTAACACAGCAGATGAAATTGAATTTATTGCATTGAACGCTACAGCCCCTATTGGACAAGTGAATAGTTTTATTTTAGATTCAGGGTGTACACAACATATGGTAATGGATGGAGTAGAAGAATATATGTCAAACATAATAATTTTAGAAGAAGAAGTCAAGATAGGGACAGCAAAAAATAATGTAGTTTTGAGAGCTCAAAAACGAGGTACATTAAAAGGTATTTGTCAAGGAATAGAAATATCCATAGATGCTCTAATTGTTAAAGGTATTTCTCAAAATTTACTATCAGTATCTATGTTGCTAAGAAATAATTTCAGAATATTTTTTGATACTAAATTTGGTAAAAAACAAGCCACACTATCAAAAAACAATTTAAATTTTTATTGTAACTCTTTCAATGATTTATTTGTTATAGAAATAGATTTTAAAAGTAAGCTAGAAAATTGTAATTATACTTTAATTGATAAAGATATCTGGCATAGGAGGTTAGGACATTTAAGTAGGTATGGTTTAAAAATGTTAAAGTTACCTTATAGTGAGGAAACTTGTAGTAGTTGCATAGAAGGTAAAAGTACTAGATAACCATTCAAAACATGTGAAAAGAAAACTAATCAAATTGGTGAGTTGATACCTACATTCTGACATAGCAGGTCCTGTAAAAACACCTATTTTAGAAGGTTATAAATACTTTTAAGTAATGATTGATGATTATTCACATTTCCTAATCGTTAAATTATTAAAAAATAAAAATGAAGCTGAACAAAATATTATTGACTTTATAAAGCTAATAAAAACTCAACATGGTGTTAAAACACAAAGAATTAGATGTGATAATGGAGGAGAATTTTCCTCTAATTATTTTAAAGATTTTTGCAGATCAAAAGGTATTAGGCTTGAGTGCACTCTGCCTTATTCGCCACAAGAAAATGGAACAGCAGAACGAATGAATAGAAGTCTACTAGACAAGGTGAGAACAAAATTTTCTGAAACAAAACTTCCTAAAGAGTTATGGGGGGAAGCAATTCAATGTTCTGCGTATGAAATAAATAGATCACCGACACAAGCAAATAATGGTGAAACTCCAGCTTCAAGATGGTATAAGAAGAATGACTTGACAAAATTAAGAGTTTTTGGAAGCCAAGCTTGGGCAGTAATTCTGCCAAGACAAAATAAATTAGAAAAAAGAGCAAAATGTTGCATGATGGTAGGATATAATGGAGCAGGATATAGATTATGGGATTTTGAAAACAATGTAATTATTTTTTCAAGAGACGTTACATTTAAAGAAGAACGTACATGTTATGATGAGATTATAAAGCATGAAAGTAGACAAGAAACAATCATTATTGAAGAGGCAGCAGAAGATAGTGAAGGAGAAACAGCAGAAACTGATTTAAAAGAAACAAGAATTGAAAATAAAGATGAAGCAAATAGTGAAGATTTAAAAAGTACACTAGAAGAAGTTGAAAATATACCAAGAATAGAAATTATTTAAATAACTATGAAGTATATACAGCCTACTGTCTGATATCTGCATTACAGAGTGATCCAATAAATTATGAAGAAGCTGCAAATAATGAAGAATGGATAGAAGCAATTAACAAGGAATTAAAGAGTCATGAAAAACTAAACACGTGGAGTGAAGCAAACTTACCAGAAGGAAAATCAGCAATTCAAACAAAATGGGTATTTCGAACAAAGGATGATGGAACAAAGAAAGCTAGGGTAGTGGCAAAAGGGTTTCAACTAAAGGAGGAAAATCCGTTTGAACCAGTATACTCACCAGTTGCAAGAGTGTCAACAGTGAGATTATTATTGTCTTTAGCCCTACAAAACGACTGGTATATAAGACAATTAGATATACCTACTGCTTTTTTAAACGGGAAACTAGAAAGTGAAATTTATATTTATCCACCTGATGGAATTATTACAAACATTAAAATTAAATCGAGCGCTATATGGACTCAAAGAGTCACCAAAAATATGGAATAATACATTTAATGATTTTGCTATTAAACACGGGTTTGAAAGTTCAAATTTTGATTGTTGTTTATATTATAATAAAAATCTGATGTGTCCAACACATGACTTTCCTATCTAGTTATTACAGGCTTTTTCCGTTTATTGTGTACAACCTATTGCAGCATCTCTATAAATGTTTAGAGGATAAACTAAATATATACATTGTCCACATACATCTACCGCGAAACATTTTTCTATAGATATTCATTGAAAATGAAAATACTGAAAAATTTAAATTTAGCACTTTTCCTACAATTTTTCCAGTACGGTCCATTTAAAAAAAATCATGTATGAACAAATACTATAGAGATCGATATCGCAAACAACTTTTATTTCAACAATTTTCATAAAAATCAGAATTTTGTACATTTTGTCAAATTTCTCGAATACGGACCATTTCTGGAAATTTTTACAAAAAACAAAAATTATAGATAATAATATTAGAAGTAACTTTTATTTGAACAATTTTCTTCTCCAAACATAAATAACAGATATATTCCATAAAATATATAAACGGCCTCCCATAAAGTACCCCCCCAGATGTTCCGACTTTGTCCAAAATCTAATCATTTCACGTCAGGCCGAAATAAAACTTAAGTTTAAAATTTATTGATTTTTTCTTTATCCGTTTTTGAGTTTTCTTCAAATTTCGAAATTTACACATTTTCTCAAATATCTCGAATACGGTCCATTTTAGAGAAATTATCTATGGGACAAAAATTATAGAGAATTATATTACAAACAACTTTTGTTTGAACAATTTTTATAAAAAAAATATTTTTTTACATTTTGTCAAATTTCTCGAATACGGACCATTTTAGGAAAATTTTGTTAAATAACAAAAATTATAGATAATAAAATAAGAAGTAACTTTTATTTAAAAAATTTTCTTCCCCAAACGTAAATAACAGATATATTCCATAAAATATAAAACTGACCACCTATTAAGTACCCCCCCAGATGTTCCGACTCTGCCCAAAATCTAATCAGCTCATTAAACGCTGGAATAAAGCTTAAGTTTGAAATTTGGTGTTTTTCCGTGTATCGGTTCATGAGTTATGCGTTATACAGACACACACACACACACACACACACACACACACACACACACACACACACACACACACACACACACACACACACACACACACACACACACACACACACACACACACACACACACACACACACACACACACACACACACACACACACACACACACACACACACACACACACACACACACACACACACACACACACACACACACACACACACACACACACACACACACACACACACACACACACACACACACACACACACACACACACACACACACACACACACACACACACACACACACACACACACACACACACACACACACACACACACACACACACACACACACACACACACACACACACACACACACACACACACACACACACACACACACACACACACACACACACACACACACACACACACACACACACACACACACACACACACACACACACACACACACACACACACACACACACACACACACACACACACACACACACACACACACACACACACACACACACACACACACACACACACACACACACACACACACACACACACACACACACACACACACACACACACACACACACACACACACACACACACACACACACACACACACACACACACACACACACACACACACACACACACACACACACACACACACACACACACACACACACACACACACACACACACACACACACACACACACACACACACACACACACACACACACACACACACACACACACACACACACACACACACACACACACACACACACACACACACACACACACACACACACACACACACACACACACACACACACACACACACACACACACACACACACACACACACACACACACACACACACACACACACACACACACACACACACACACACACACACACACACACACACACACACACACACACACACACACACACACACACACACACACACACACACACACACACACACACACACACACACACACACAGACATCATCGCGAAAATAGTCAAAACGGATTCAGAGGACCTCAAAACGTAAAAATCCGTCGAAAACTCGAGGTCGAAAAAAAACATGATTCCTATACTTTCCTTATATCTGTATACGGATAGGAAAGTAAAAATGTATGGATTGTAATTTATGTAGATGACATGTTGGTAATAGGAGATACAATAACTGTAGAAAATATATTAAAGATGTTAAAATTAGATTTTAATGCAAAGGATTTAGGTGAAATTAAAAATTTTCTAGGAATGACTATTACCAGAAATGATAATAAACTTGAAATCAAACAGACTAAATTTATAGAGAAATTGTTAAAAAATGTTGATATGGAGTCATGAAATGCAACAAATACACCTATGGAGAAGGCATTTTAATACAACGAAAGAAGTGAAACAGTAACTGACATTCCTTATAGACAATTAATCGGAGGACTAATGTATTTGTCTGTAACCACAAGACCCGATATCACATTCTCTGTATCTTATTTAAGCAGATTTTTAGATAAACCTACATCTGAAATATGGAAGGCAGGAAAAAGAGTTCTAAGATATCTGCAAGGAACAAAAGAAAAAGGCTTAACCTATTATAAAACTGACTCATAAGTCGATTTAAAATTAGAAGGATATTCCGATGCTGATTGGGCTACTGATAGAAGTGATCGAAAGAGTGTGTATTATAATGTTTGGTAGAAATCCAATATCATGGTTTTCAAAGAAACAAAATTGTGTAGCACTCTCTACTGCTGAGGCTGAATATGTGGCAGCAACTGCGTGTGTTCAAGATCTAATGAATCTTAAAGGTATTTTAAGTTATTTTAATTTACATAAAAATGTAACACTCTATTGTGACAACAAAAGCTCAATTCTAATGGCAAAGAGCAATGAAAACTCCAGAAGAGCAAAACACATAGATATCAAAAATCATTACTTAAAAGACTTAGTTGCACGTAAAGAAATTAATGTGGAATATGTATCAACCGACCAAAACTTAGCAGACATATTAATTAAGGCATTAGGTAAAGAAAAATTTGTTTATTTAAGAGAAAAGGCTAATATTATTTAAGAAAATCATATGTAATATTTTTTTTAATGTTGGTACAATTTTCACAATTATAAAATGTTTCAAATTGAGGAGGTGTGTTATAATATATTGCTTATGTGGGTAGAGGCAACCATGTGTCTCATTACTTAGGTTAAGTGTTAAGGAAAAAGAAGATCTTAGTTAACCTAAAAATTATGTAAAAGTAAGCACATGTATTTTTCGTTTATTTAAAATTAATAAATACAATATAAAATAAAAGGCAGTTCTGATTATTAAAATTATAAGAGTCTATAATACATACCTAAAAACAACGATCTTAAGCATCTGCAAATCCTCATGCAATTCTTTATATTTGTTTTTAACACTTTCGTTCTCTTTTTGGTACTTTTCGCTTTCAGTATGACAATTTTCAATTGCTACTTGAAAGTCTTCGCACTTTTTACAAACTCTCAATTTTTCTAATTCGTATTTTAAAGTCTCGTTCTCGTGTAGAATCTGTTCGAAATTCTCTTCTAGTTCTTCGATGTCTTTTTTGAAGTGCGTATTGGCTAATTGCAGCACGTTAATTTTCTCTCTGAGCTTGGTGATTTTTTTCACAGAGAGTTCCTCCAATTCGTGGAACTTCGAAGAGAGATGTCTGTTTTCTTCGACGAGCCTCATATTTTCTCTGCTTAATTGCTTTTTCGTTATTCTAGTGGAAGTATCTGGTTCTATTGTTTCTACGATGATTTCGGTACGCATAGGTTCATCGTCTTCTAGAATTGTAGTGGTCTAAAACGCAAAAAATGTATTTAGTTTTGTATTAAAAAGTAGAATAAATCTGTTAAAGTGAAACTGGGTTGTTAATTGTTTAATATGTTATTGATTTATATGACACTGTCAATTTAGTTGAATAAAGCCTTATATTTTCGGGTTAAACCTCAATTTCACTACATGTTTGGTATCGGTACCATAGAACCAAGACTGACTGAATATTTTTGCTGGATCGCAGTTTTTCGTGGTGTCTTATTCTAAAGTCCTCACCAGGGAAGGTGTTATGTTTCTTGGTTTCTAATAACACGGTATGTTATTTATTTTAGTAATTTGGTTTCACCCTTTCTATTTATTTTTTCAATGTTATGTTATTATGACAGACTGGAGATTTTGTCAACGTTTGTATTATATTTTTCATAGTTAAAAGTAAAGAATTAGAAAGTACACAAATATTTTTTAGAAGGAACACGTTCATATACCGAATTTAAACGGCAGGGTGATTTTTTGAACAATTGTATCGAATATTTTGTTTTTAAAAGAAATAGATAAATAATAAATGATAATGAAAATAGATTCATTTCATAACTATACACTAGTAGATTATATTTTGTTAGAACCGTGGGTTATGTAGCCTCCCCGACCTAGAAATCTTTAGACAAATTGTGGATATCCTTTAATTGTTGGTTAGTTAGAGTATATTGTCCAGTTTGGTCTTTTGTAGTACACCTCATAGACTAGAAAGTAGCTGTCCGGCGTAGCAAGTTGCCTTTAGTTTTTTTTCTCCAATTGTAAGAAATCTCAGTTTTGATAGACGTTCGCATTAGCTCAATACGAATTATGCAGTTTTCTCCTCTTTCTGATATAATCGGCACAAGGCCTCTTCTACTAGGTTTAGTACTCTAGTATTTTTCCTATTATGGGTTGGTAGATACTCGGTGAGTTTTAGAGATGGTACTTTCAAGCACTCTTTGACATGTCTCTGTCCTGGTGAATTGTTGCATCATTACTGAGATTTTTTAACATCCTCAGTTTTGTATATGTCGATATCTCTATTTATGACACCACAGAAGGATTCTAAGCCAATAAAAACCATTGAGGCTTCTTTTCTGGCTAGTAAATCAGCCTCTGCATTGTCCTTATGTTCTCTGTGGCCTGGTAGCTGATACCCATTTCGTTGCTAGTCCATCAATTATAGATGTTATATGGGCATTATTCAAAGCCCCCTTAATATCTACTGCCATTTCTTTATCCTCTAGGGATTTTGATATTAGCTTGTTAAGATCATACATAATTTGGCTGTATTTCCTGACTGATATGCATATTGTCTATTGTTGAGAGGAACCATACCATTTACATGATACACTGAATAAGTTTCCGATAATTTACAAAGAGAATGGTTTGTATGTTTCTGCGGTGCAATTTAACTTTAGAAATTAGACCTTTTTTTAACCGTACCATCCACAGAAAATCCCACTGAGTTAAAATAAACCGGCACCTAGTTATCGATTCTCTTGAGATATTTCCAATGTGCTGTGGCATCCCTTGTCCTATGGCCTTTTAGTGGTGATAATTTTCAATGTAACTGGTACCGTCAATACGCAAGTCATACATTACAAAATATGTAACTTTCAAAAAAATAACGAAAACAACGTGAAGATTAAAAAGATAGTGTCATTATTAAAATAAATGCTGTTCTTACTTTTCCAACTTTGTCGTCGCTGACCGCATACCGTCTTGTGTTAAAATTTGCGGAAAATGTCTTCTTCGTTTCTAAATTATCACTAAGTATTCTATGGACAGGAACGTTGACCCTCCTTTGCCTGGGTTTCGCAGAAATTTCGGCTAGGGACATGTTTTTCTTATCGAAATTTGGAGACGCTACTTGAAATATAGGAAGCATTTTGGATTCACCAATTTCATGGTAGTGGCTATAAGTCGTTCTGAAATAAGAATTAATCTAATTATTTTAATGTAATGTTAAGTGTCAGAGACAAAACATGAAAACAGATCTGAGGAGTAACAAAAATCAGAGGAAGAAATAATAAAGGTATACTCCTTGCGCTAAAGAGACATATCGCGTCTAAAATATAAAATATAAATATAAAACCACGAACGAAACCAAAAATTTGTTTTAAAAAAATAAGACTTTAATTTTGCAAACAAGAAGCAAACTGAGCAAATAAACTTCGGTCTGTATTTATAAACATAACTCAGCTGAGTCGGACTTTGTTAAGTCGTCCTTGAACTAAAATCGAAGTTCGGTTATATCGCGTGAATTTAGAAATGGTAGTAACAAATCCGTAAATGTACTTAACAGTTACAGATTTGCTAATATCCACCTTTAAGGTTTATATGGACCCCCGGAAAAAGTATCTACACGTTCAAAATTTTTGAAAAAAATGTGTGAATGTATATACAACCTTAAGTATTATTTTACCAAAATTTGATCCGGTTTGTATCATTTGTTGTCAAGAAAAATTGGAAAATTTACTTTTTTACAAGTATAAAACAAAGAAACTAGACTATCAAGAGAGATCATTATTTCATAAAATAAATTAGTTTTGGTTAAGAAACTTACATAAATTTTTTGAAAATTTTTGAACTTGCAGAAATGACGTAATTGAAGAATATATTTATTTTATTAACAAAAATTAGATTTAAACTATAAAAATGAATGTAATATTCAAGAATATACCTTCAATAATTATATTTAAAGACATTGACCTCAAAACATTATTAAGTTTTTTATAAATTTAGTGAAAAATTCAATTAAACAATAACACTATTTTGAATTTCCTCTTTCAAAGTCTTATCTCTGAGAGGTGCTGCCATCTCAATTACTACTTTCTAAAATTGCTCACAGAGAGCACTAAATTTCCTACTCAAACAGAAATTTCGGATGTCCGCGTACACCAACGCTACCGTGTTGCCAGATCGAGTTGTATTACTAAGTTCGCTGGATTAAATAAATATTTTTCTATTAATAATTCGGTCGATGCAAACGTACCTATTCATTTTACAGAATATTTGAATTATTTAATTATTAAATGAAAGGTACATTCTGAATGATGCATGTGTTTTATCAATTAAAAAAGTTGAACAGATGTTTACCAAATATCAGTATCATGTTAATTGCATGTTGATTAGTTTTTGGTAGAAATTGGATCGTAGGACGATATTTAAGAAGGTTGGCAAGTAAAAAAAAACGGATTTTGAAATTAAAACAACAGGTATTTAGTAATGACATTTTTTCTGTTAAAAAATATAAATTCGTAAAAATCTGATTGGCTCAAAAACCATATTACCTTAGTAGGTATTTCATATTTTTTTTAAATAAAAAAAAACTATTTCTATTATAAATAAATTTATTAAATATACCTTTTAAAAATTCTTATTGATCCTACAAAAAATAAATCATTGCTAAACATTTACTTAGTAAAAATAGTTATTGTTTTCCTAAGGAACATTTTTTTCCATCAGCAGTAGTAGAACAAAAGTATTTAACATGTTTTTGTGCATTTAATAGTGCAAATTCTCGAGCTGAGTAAAAACACTTTACTTAAAAATTTTTAGCATCATCTACCAATCCATCCGGTGAAGTTCCTAAGAAACGATAACATTTTTCTTAAAAGATGAATAAACCACATTCAACAACTGTATTCTTTGTAATAGAAGCATATGTTTCAATTGCAACAGTTTCGTTAAGTTTAACATCTATATCTGTAACGTGTGTAGGGTGGGTTAACCCGCGGCACTTAGGCCTTACTAAACCCATTTTACATCTTCCTAAATAGATAGGCACCTCCTAGCTCGTGAGCCAGCCTACAGATTTAATGTAGTTGACAATATTGCCAAGAGGTGCCTTTCTTATATCGGCTGGTGTTAGCCAATTATCAACGAATATAAATCATTTAATAAATGTGAGCATCGATCACTTGTAAACGATATACTCGATGATATCATCTTTTTGTTTGCACCCTTTGCAGAGTGCGGATTCTGCCAGCCCCATGACATGGAGATGTTTCCCTACTTGGCAGTGACCCGTCAGAATCATATAAAGGGACAATTCTGCTCGTGGTATACTCGTTGTAACTTTTACGGTCTCCTCCCCGGTTATGACCACTCTTCTTGTTTTTTTTTTTAATGGGACACCCTATATATTAGTAAGACAATAACTCAAAATCAATCCCATATAAATTAATTTTATTAAGTTAAATGTTTTGGCCTTAGGACATCATCAGGTCTAAAAATTAAGTGATAAGCGCTAACAAAACACTACTAGGACGTCCCCATAAAAAGGTTAAAAAAATACACGTGTATGCTTAAAACCGAGCCCCAACAAGGGTAAGGTAGTTGTAAGAAATATCATATGTGGGACATGTTGATAAATGTGAGAATATGGCGATGAGTAGTGTTAGCCTATAAGTTTCTTTATGCAAATCTTTTTCAACTTGTACAATTTCTATCATATTTTCCACATATGGTATCTCTTACAACTGCCTTTTTAATCATACACGTGTATTTTTTTTAAATATTTTATGGAGACGTCATTTTATATTGTAAGCGCTTATTACTTTATTTTTAGACCTGATGATGGCCTAATCCCGAAACCGGTTGTCATTTAACTTCCTAAAATTAAATAACGTGGGATTGATTTTGAGTCATTTTTTTATCTTTAAGGAACATATTAGTTAGTTACTTTGTATACTATCACATTTTTCTACTCTTTTATACTATTCGATTTCAAAAATGTATACCTGAGGTGTACATTAAATCGTCTGGAAGTTGCTTTTTTTGAGCTTTTGTTTACGTTCTTTCTTTCTTTCCCTTTCTGTCTATTTTTTTTCTTTCTCTTCTCACCTTTAAAATTATGGATAGTTTTCATTGAAATTATTTAATATTCATTTAATTATTAAATAGTACCCAACCATAGCGCGCGAACGTATCCTCCAGTCAGTTTTTTTATTTCAATTTTTTGACTGCGCGAACTGAGTCCATTCGCCAAACCACATAGATTATATTGTTCTAGTTTTATACCATATTTTAAGAATAATGCGCTCACCCTAAATAACTTTATTTCAGTAAAGTTCATAGTTGAGAATGATTGAGCGGACCAGTGGAAGACTTAACAAAAGCTCGCCAGGTCATATCCATCTCTTAGCTGGATCGCTTGGGCCGTCCGCGCTCAACACCTCACCTCCCGCGGCTTACAACATAAACAAATAAAACATAATTATATTGAAGTTTGGCAACGTTCTTCGCATCGAATCATAAAGATCTCCCGCGTAATCTATTATTGTGCTAGCAGTCTCTTTTGGCGGCGATATAAACTAACGAAATATTATTCTATCACAGATAGAACCCTGTAACTTTAATAAATTGTATACTAAATTTGATGCGACAGGTAGAGCCATCTCTAGAGTCAGAAACGAGTGAGGAGGTGGGTCCATATAAACCTTAAATTCCAGTGTAACACCAGAACCACTTGGAACTTTAGAGATGTTGTAACTGAACTTCGATTTTAGTACCTTAGTAACTCTTGTTGCATGTGAAAATTATAAAGAAGAAATACAATTAAATTAAAAAATAAAATTGTATCTATAATTTAATTTTACAATTTATGTTTTATCGGTTTTACAATTAAAGATTGTTGAGAATTTTGTATTCTTAAACATTTATTGTAACAATTTTTTTTTAGAATCCTGCTTTATTTTCTAAGCAGGATTTAAGTTCTGCAAAAAACTACAACCTTATTATTTTTTAAACTATTGGTTACTTGTAAATTAAGCGAAATATAATATATTTATACAGGACTAATAGTGGAAATGCCGAAAAATTGTTGCGAGTGGATGTGAAAAGGTCATGGAAATACCAGAATGCAATTGAAAAAGACAGGTATTAAGGTGATTACAGCTCCCCCTTATAATTTTCGGACAAGGATATCTCAAAAAGTAAAATTTTGGCAAAATATATTAGGCAATAATATCTAAAATATGCATATATTTTAAAATTTTAATTCCTTCTAGTTTCCGAGAAAAAAAATCAAAGAGCTTTAAATTTTGAAATATCATAATGAAAATAAATGCATTCCTCAACAGCACTATTCTTAATATAATCCCCAAATTTAAGCTCTTAATCTCTTGTTAATGATTTTTTAAAATTCGCCGAAATTAGTGGCTTAAAAGGCTCGTTAAGTGCTATTTTCTGGTTTCAACTGGTGTAAACTGATGTAAATCATTGCAAGAAACCAATGATGACTCAGAGTGTACGATACGATAGTTACAGACGCATTACACTAGAAAGAAGCACTTAACGAGGCGTTTTAGCCACTAATTTCGGCGAATTTTAAAAAAATCATTAACAAGAGATTAAGAGCTTAAATTTGGGGATTATATTAGGAATAGTGCTGTTGAGAAATGCATTTATTTTCATTATATTTCAAAATTTAAAGCCCTTTAATTTTTTTTCTCGGAAACTGAAAGGAATTAAACTTTAAAAAATATGCATGTTCTAGATATTATTGCCTAATTTATTTTGCCCAAATTTAAATTTTCTAAAAAAATTACTTTTTGAGATATCCTTGTCCGAAAATTATAAGGGGGTGCTGTAATCACCTTAACGGAAATATAAATAATAATTCATGCCTTTCCCCACGAGTGAACATCAAAAAGCAGAGCTTAGTGCGGTTTAGCGATAGTTAATATATTTGCTATTGCAGTGCAGATGGTTCCAGGGGCACCCCCCAAGTAAAATGTTGGCATAATTGATTAAAACGTTAAAAAAAACACGTAAACCACACGTTAAATAATTTAAATTTTTATAACTGATACACAACTTTTTAATAGTGTAGAAACTAATAGTACGACGTATTTGTTAGAAGTTGTTGAGCAATATTTAACTAGAGTTGTAACAACGTTAATTTATAAGGAACGTATAATTA